AAATATGATTACACATTAAATTTTAATTTTTTTCTTAGTAGATAAAATAAAATTAAAAAGACCTACCTTATCTAATCAACAAAAAACTAGATAGCACATTGAAAAATAAAAAGTGCAAAAAAAAAAAAATTAGTTTTGTCTTAATTTTTTTAGATTTGATTTCCCTCTTTGTTTTAAATATGGTTGAATAGTTCAAATCAAGTTAGTAGCAATTTTAAGACTGTTATAATTTTCAACCGAATAAAACTGTGATATCGATTTCTAATAAATAAAAGGATAACACCATTTAACAAAACTGTGATATTGATTTTTAATGAATAAAAGAATAACACCAAATGGTATGTCTTTTCTTTGACGTTCAATGAATTTTTTCTGTGACAAATAATCCTTTAACAATTTTATTTTACATGTCATTACCATCAATTTACCTTGATGTCAAAGGACATATAAATCCACATTCTAATATATAATTTTAGGGCGCTGCTTGGGTTGTGTGGGTAAGGTGCACGGCCCAGGTTCGATTCCCTACTGGGTGAGTGCCTGCAGCAGTTTGCAAAAGGGTGTCCGGCTTCCCACCGGCTATATACCTCTCAGGATTAGTCCTAACTTCTTTTAAAATCAGAGGGTTGGGGATACCTAAGTTATCAAAACAAAACCAAACAAAAAAACAATGACATAGTCAGAAATTTGATTAATTGGTGTCATTCGGTTAGTTCATTATTTTATATTTTTAATTCTACAAATCTTATAAAAATTAACTTTCATATACCATACAATAATACATGGTAATAAAATATATTTGTAATAATAACATTACAAAAAAATTTGGGAACATTAATTTACTAAACACTCAAGTATCTGATACTTAAAAAAATAGTAACTCTTAACTAAGTTCTATTTATTAAAAAAGAATAACGGTATACAAATAAAAAAATTTATTTACTTTTTGTTATCCTTTTATTTTTAATCCAAAGCGTCACCATTTTGTCCTCCTAATTTTAAAAAATATCATTGACTCGTCATTCTAAATATATTTTTTTGGTTACAAATCAATCTTTTTTTTAAATGACACCGTTATATTTATTTTTAATCATTTTAGTGGTGTCAATTTATAAAAACACTTAAAAACTTTACACAACACTATATACCTTTAAAAACATTCGAAGTTTAGAAAATTCAATTCAACCCTCTCAACAATACAGCCCCTGATCACAACTGATTCAATTGTTGAAAGGCGCACGAACATTGTGATGTAGGTCATATGAAAAGGTTTGTAGTAGGGAAAGCCTGTGAAATTAATGAAAAATACAAGAAAATTATAGAAAAAATATATATATTTTTGTAAATTTATTACTCAAAATAATTGATTTTTTTGATTTGTTTAAAAAACTAATAACCTAACTTATAGTAAAAGTTTGCTCGGTAACACATCCCAAATCTCAAACATTTTATATATACTTACATAAAATTTAAAAGTTAACAAAATGAAAATTTTGACTTAAAGTTAACATAAAAATTTTGACTTAAAGTTAACATAAAAAATAGCATATATTATAAAAACTTCAAAAAAATGTTAATTAAATTTTAATTTTAATCTCAAACAATAGAATATTATTTTGAAAATGTTTGCATCACGTTGACCACAATAAGATTCTTTGTGTTGAATAGTTATTATGAAGTGGTTTGAGATTTGCTTATTTAGTGAATTTTTGACTTTTTATAAAATAAATATACAGAAAAGTAGAAAAAAAAAATGAAAAAATTAGTCTAAGGTCTCTCTCCCATTTTTTGTGATGGAAGAGATCCACAAAATTATTTTTTGATGCCTAAGGTCCCTAAACATATATCAGAGAAATTTGACTTTGTATCTCTCCTCCTCTCCTCTACTGCTACCTTTCAACCACAACCACAACCACATGCAGGCCCCTTGAAGAAGATGTACGCGTTCGGAGGCTCGTATACCGACACGGGCAACACAGGCTCCACCAGGGGCCCAAGTGGCTTCAACTATGTATCGAACCTCCCTTACAGCCAAAATCTATGAAGCTAACTGGAGCACGAAAAAAAGAAGAGTAATATCCAATACCAATAAGCAGAGACTCTAGTTGCGAAATAATCATAAAGAAATTCATGGAAAACATTAACTGGTGGTATCAAACCTCTTGTAGACACTACTAGAGATTGCAAAACTTGCCAACGCACTTGTTGTCGACTCTAATAAGTAATATGTTTTGAAGAAAGAAAGATCAACAGAACAAGAACGAAAAGGCACCCTGGAATTTGGATGGAATGGATGCGACCGGCGAACATGCCTAGGACGAACCCACTATTTGGGAAAAAAATTCCAATTCTCACTAGACCAACTTCTCTTATATGACTAAATAACTAGATCATGGATACAAACTGGTTTAATGGAACAACCATGAATCACAGACCCACCATGAATCACACGCCAACCGACGTGGGGGAGCTTTCTCTCTCTAGATGCTAGAGAGAGAAGCAAGCTCCTGGATTTTCTCTGGATTGTGAAGTCCAGAGAAATTCTCTAGAATATTTGTCTGGGAATTTTCTCTAGGTTGTGGAGTCCAGAGAAATTCTCTGGGTGAGAGAATCTCTAAAAATGTTTGTCTGAGAATTTCTTTGGGTTTGGGGAGTCCAGAGATTTCTCTACACCGAATTTTCTCTAGATCAAATTTTTTTCTGGATCAATATTGAGGGACCTTAGACATTATGAAAAATATTGAGTGTCCTTTTATATTATAAAATTTTAATACAGGGGACCTTAAAAAAAAAATTTAAAAAAAAATGTGATAACTTATAATAAATAAATAAATAAGTAAACTTATTTAGTGCATTAGCTCGTGGATTCTAAAAATTTTGAAGGGAAAAAAAAGGGGGTATGTGAAAAGTGTATAAATTGCCATCATTCATAGAAATCATCTTTATAACGGCCCAATGTAAGGCCATTAAAGTCATTGGCTTGGGCCAAAAATTTAAAAGATTGTTTTTTTTTATTTTTAACAAACGTGATAAAATAGATTATTTATTTTTATTTATTTTTTAAAAAACAAACGTAATAAATAAAAGAATTATAATAATCAAATTAATTTACTTTTTTTCATAAATATTATATATTGAAATTCCTATAATTTAAATCATCAAAATGAGATCATGAACTTTCTAAATTTAAATTTAAACTTGAAATCTAACCTTTTTATAATTGGGTTAAATTACAACTTCAATTTTTTGGAATCGCACTAACAAATAGGGATGCCAACGGATGGGTTTCTTCGGATTTTGCATACGAATTATTTATTTTATACTCAATTATAGTTTATTAATACAATTTCGTATTTTATATTAATCCTACCAGCTTTAATCTATTTAGCCCTATAGTTTACCCACCCAATCAATACTCTCTCAATCTTTTTTTTTTTTTTTTTTTTTTTTTATTAAAATGGGTTTTGAAAATATACAATCAGTAGGGGGTGATAATAGAGTTGAACGATTAGCTATTCAAGTTTGACTTAAAAATTTTAATGAAATTTAATATTTGTCGAAGTTTGGTTATTAAACTTTCAAATCAATCTCAAAGGAGCTTTTATTGAGCCAAACTCAAGTAGTCTAATATTTTTATGTAGTTTTAAGCTTATCGAACTATGCTAAATGAGTAATTGACTATTCAAGCTTGATTTGAAAAACTTTAACGAACTCTAAAATATATTTAAATTTGACTTATTTACTGAATGAATTGAACTCAAATGAGTTTTTAACGAGGTGAATATGAGCAAAGCTGACTTTGGCCCAAAACTCACAAGGTTGCCGCTTTCGGCCCCAAAAAATTGATGAAAAAGACCCTCTTTTTTTAGGAGAATATCAAAAAAGTGAAAAAATAGTAAAATGATTTCAAATGCATGAAAGTATAACATTTTTTGCACAAATTAGTGCATGAGTCACTTATACTTTCACAAATTTCAAATTATTTTACCATCTTTCTATTTTTTTGATATTCCCCCAAGTTTATTTTAGCTATGCTGCTAGTTCAAAAAAAAAAAAATCATTTGAATTTAAAAGGCCCCCAATAAAGTTTAGTGGACATTCAAAATTAATAAATGTTTGTGTGTGAATTATTTAAAACTAATAAATAATTGTTTTTGTTGAAAAAAAAAACCCAATTAATATAGTGAATTATTTGAAATTAAGGATGATAGTTTCTCAAATGCATAAATTGTGGGTAAATACGATTAATTATTTTAATTGCAATTATTTATAGGAAAAAACCTCTTGAAGTTTAAAATTAATTAAATTTTACTTTCAGTCAATTATGTCACCCAAAATAAAAAAATTGAATGGATTGATAGTTTTATTCATTGAAAAGTATTGTACAAATTTAATTAGCAATTTTACAATAAAAATATAAAAAATGATATTTAAGTGATATTTTGTTACAATTTATTCACTTTTTTATTTATTATTTAAGTTTGGATTATTTTGATAGTTTTCTTTTTATAAACTTTATTATATATTTAAATAAATTTTAATAATTATATATAGAAATAAACTTTTTGTAAATAGTGTTTGAAAAAAATAGATACATAATTCTTTTGTTACAATTTTTTTTTTTTTTTTTACTTTTAAGAATGAATTTAAAACTAATCATGGGGGTTGTTTGGGAAAGGATTTTTTTTTTAATTTTTTAGCTTAAAATTCACAAAAAGATAAAATAGGTTAAAAATAAATAAGACAAAATATCACATCAAATTTATGATCATTTTATTTTTTTCTCTCACAAACATCGCATTCATTTACAAAAAAATCCAACTATTTTTCCAAAAATAAAATATTTTAGCCTACTAAAAAAAAATTTATAACCAAATCAAACTCGAGTTTCATTAATACTAATGAGTCGATCCTAAGTTCAAACTCAATAAATAAATTTGATAAATAAAAGAACCGAGCTCGGACTTAACAAAAGCTTAACTTGAGCAGTTCGTTTTGCAACCTAATCGAAAGTTCATTTTGGACCTAAAAATATCGGAGAGATGGCCTTAAAAATTTTCAGAGATGATCCATGATAACACGAGTCAATCTCAATTTATTTAACTCGTTTATCACTCTTAATAATCGGGTCGGGTAATTTTACATCTACTAATGAATTGGGTCATCGGTTTCCTCAAACGGGCCAATCCGATCCATCAATTCCAATTTCCAACTAGTATGTTACAACGGCAACGGCTCTCTCTCTCTCTCTCTCTTCGATTCCATGTTTCGAAGGCTCTCTCTCTCTTCAACTCTGTAAGTCTTCTCATCCATTCGATCCAAACAGTGATCAACCAACTACTTGTACGCTATTACTTTTGCTTTTCCATTTGTTTTAATTAAAAAAATATATTTATTATCTTGTATCATTTAAGTTAAAAACTTGAACTTGTAATCCTGCTTTTATTCATTTTCTTGATTGATGACTGGTTATGATGGAATTGCTATCAGTTGTTAGTTCCATTTTGTTTTTATAATGTATATCTCACCATGATTTGTTAGATTACTGGTGGATTTTGATTGCTAGAATTGATGACTGCATAAGGGTTTTCTTTAAAATTGGTTTTTATAATTAGGATTTTATTAGTACCAATTAATTATTGTTTTTTTGATTTCTTATCCAAACCATAATACAAAAACAATAGACTTCCCAAATTCTTAAGTTTTGACTTGTTCTAGTTCTCACCAATAGGTTTATGTTTATGTATTTGTTAGCAACTTAGCACGAAGATTAGGATGTAAAGCAATGATCAATGAAAGAAAATTACTCATCATGATGCTCTTTATGCGTATTTCTTGGCATACGGATCTCATTTGGAGACAGACAGGATAGTGAAATCCTGGGAGCGGGATCCTAGAGATTGTCCTTGGAGATGCCTTAGCACACTTAGACTTAGTAGGACACGTGGAGACTCGTCATTGGTCCATTAGTTATTTGCAAGGCTGCCATATAGTTAGCACCAACTAACTAATGTATTGACACCACTTAACGGAATGGACACATGTGCCTGCAAAAACATAGAAACACCCTAGAAATATATGGATTCAAGCATGTTATTTACATCAAGATTAGAGCACTTTTTGTTTCTCATATAACCACTACCGAAACCTAAATCTTGTACATGGTTAAATGGGGTTTCTACAAGGAGTGAACCTTAATCTTATCTTTTCACCTCATGGTCTCCTTCCTTGTTTCTTATGTATCACATACCATAAACAATTTGTTAGTCAAAAGTAACTTTTGTGGCTATACTCTACATTAAGAGTGTTTTTCCAATCTTATGTTAATTTGAATGAGCTAAATGAATTATTATGTATAATATATGAACATCTTGCATATTAGATAGTTCTACAATCGAAGTAGCTTTTGCAACCTTCTTTACAAAGCTCTCCCCAATAACCATGTCTAAGATCTAATTTAGTTAGGATTTTTTTTATTTAGTTAAAGGAAGCGACGTCAAAATTATACGCAATATGTGTAAGTTTAGAGAAGAAAAAGTGATAGAGACTAAGTTAGACCTCATTCCCTTTTATATTGATATTAATGAGTAATTACAAGAATACTTTAAGGCATAAATTATGGGTCAGCCCATTATATCAATCAAGGGAAAATAAAATCAAATAAGAATAAAATATTATTTCCTATTCTAACACTCCTCCTCAAGCTGGTGCGAAGATATCTCTCATGCCCAGCTTGTTGAGAATGCTATGAAATGGTTTGCTCCCTATTCCCTTAGTGAGAACATCTGCTACTTGGTCCCCAGTCTTTACAAATGGAATACATATGGTACCACTAGTGAGTTTTTCCTTGATAAAGTGCCTATCAATCTCCACATACTTGGTTATGTCATGTTGAACTGGATTATGAGCTATATTGATGACGGCTTTGTTGTCACAGTACAATCTCATGGAATTAGGCTGATGGATCCCCTAAGTCTTGCAACAATAATCTAATCCATAGCAACTCACATACTCCCTGAGCTGTAGCCCTAAACTCTGTCTCAGCACTAGATCTAGCAACCACATTTTGTTTCTTATTTCGCCATGTGATTAGGTTGCCTCCAACAAATATGTAATATCCAGAATTTTATCGTCTGTCAGTGACTGATCTAGCCCAATCCACTTCAGTGAATGCCTCCACACTGAGATGTCCATGTTTTGAGAAATAGATACCCTTTCTAGGAAAAGCCTTCAGGTGTCTCAAGATTCTCATCACTGCCTCTAAGTGGGAATTTCTAGGAGCATGCATAAATTGGCTAACCATGCTTACTACAATGGCAATGTCTGGACGTGAGTGAGATAAGTATATGAGTTTACCCACTAACCTTTGGTATCTCCCCCTGTCCACTCGATTTCCCCCTTGATTCTCACTTTGTTTCTAGCCCGGTTATAAAGGTGTTTCACATAGTTTACCTCCAAGCATTTCAGTTTTCTTTTAGCAAGTCAATAAAGAATTAAGAATCCGGTTATTTTTTTTCTGGACTTTTTTTTTTTTTTTTTTTGGTTTTGCTTCGATACTGTGTTTGTTTCACCAGGTATTACATCACCAAACCCTGCGTACGAGAAGCGACCACCTCAAGCGACCCGAAAGGGACTAGCGACCTCGACCAGACCAGCAAGAAGGTTGGTCGGCACCCTGGGAACCCTCAGCAACGGTTGTCCCAACAATGGCTGGAGAGGCCTGCTGAGGGAGAGGGAAGCCTGGGTGATGACGGTCGAAGAGAGAGAAAGGACTAGGAGACTTAGGTAGGGGCTATCGGAGGCAAAGGAAGGAGAAACAAGGCTGTGGGGTTACTTGAAGGCTGTCGGGTGGCTGTTTGGAGCTTTCGTATGGTATACAGGAGAGAGGAGATCACCTGTAGTGATGGGTAACAGAGAAAAAGAGCTGGCTAGGGCATGGCTCTGATACCATGTAAGTTTAGAGAAGAGAAAGTGATAGAGAATGAGTTAGACCTCATTCCCTTTTATATTGATAATAATGAGTAATTACAAGAATGCCATAAGGCATATATTATGGGCCAGCCCATTACATCAATCAAGGGAAAATAAAATCAAATAAGAATAAAATATTATTTCCTATTCTAACAATATGTATCGTATTGTCTGGAAAAAGGTACGTATCGCGGACTCGTATTGTTGGTGACTTCAATCGTGAGATACATTTCCGTATCACACGATTCTGTATTGTATCGCGATTCAACTCACATCGCATGATTAATTAATTTTTACATTCTTTTTCACCATTGGTCCCATTAGCTACTTTCTCACTATCAATCACCATAGTTGACACTTACTAAGTAGTCATGAACTATATTATCAAAAAATTCATACAAAGGAGACCCAAGTTCAAATAAACTATCAAGAAAAATGACTCCCATACTCCTTTTGCTACAAGAAATTAAACTACTATCATGAATCTAATTTGATTGAATTTAGATATACCTTATTGACCACAATTCGGTCATTGGTTATGTGATTTAGTAGTTTATTTTTGCAATATATTTTTATAATATATGAAAATAATTATTTTTTTTTATCTATATTTATTTATATATGTTAATGTGTTTTACAACACATGATATGACACATGATTACATAAGTGATATAACAATACATGATGTGTATCACGATTCAACAACACTGGTTAAAGCATCTACAAGCTGAGTATGCTTTGTAGGGATTGTCAAGGACAAGACCTATAAAGGTATAGGCACATGTTCATTTAGTCAATGAAGCTACAGTTGGCTAATGATTGCGTCGTTGATTCGATAGACAAGTTGGTTATATGTTGCGATTTGCAGATTAAGTTGTAAGGAGTTGATGTTCTAGAAAGTTTTTGGACATGTGCACGTGGAGAACTAATGCGAGTCATAACCACATGGGATATGGGACGCATATTTAGTTCTCATTGGATAAGGGGACATTCTCCATCTATTGCAACAACAAAAGAGTGCATGTTGGAAACAGTCTCACATCAAATGCAACCACAATACTCATAATAACTTACATAAAAATAACATAACCTTTATTTTATTGGTTACACTAGGGCTACTCTTGAGATGGGTTATATTTTGAGAAATTCCCCATAACCACAAGTAGGAGTGGTCGAAGTGTTAGTTTGTTGCTCCGTCATTGAATGGGTCAATTTGCATGGGAAGGATCTGGTAGAGCAGATGCTGGGGAGGAAGATGAAGCTTTGTTCCTCTCTTCATCAAGTTGGGCACGTACATTCTTTTGAAGTTGTTGCATTTGTATCTTCAACTGCTCAAGCTCATGGATGGTAAGCTCGTCAATGGGTGCCTTCCATCCACCCTTACTTTGAAGTTCTTTTTCCATTTGGTCCAGCAGTTTTTCTTTCTTCTTCGCTGCTTCTAGTTGCTTAAGCACCCCATTGAGTTGTTGGTTAAGCTCAAGCTTTTTTTCTTGGCAGTGAGCCTCAACGAAACTGGTGGTAATGTCATTAGGAATTTGGTTTGGGTCAGTGAACCTGTTGCAAATCGACTCAATGCTTGGATGAGCGAAGGAGAATGGCTTACCAGTTGGAGAGAAAAAGATTATGCCAATATCTACTCCACATGTTGTACAAAGCTCACTTGCCTTCTTGAAAATCCCAGCTTTACGCTTAGAGAAGGTATTGAAACGAGCTTGTTCATTTTCTATCAATTTCATTTCTATCTTTTGGCGACCCTTGGTAAGCTTATTCTCCATGGCTATCAATTTTTTTATAATAGACAGAAGGAAGAATGCAAAATGATGGCTTTTCTTGTTTTAGTTTGACATATATATATATATATAGGGGCCAAATGTGGGAATTATGTGGAGCGGTGTTGCCTATTTATGTCCTCCTTCCACGTATGATTATTTTCTAATAAAGAATTCAAGATGATGATAATATCACTATACAGACCATATATGGTGTGAAAATCTAATACATTTGGTTGGCACTTATGACTTCTAGTCTAAATTTTGATTAACTTTGGTAACATCTTAAAAGATAGTCCAAATATACAATCCATATATGGTGTGAAAATCCAATACTTTTGGTTGGCACTTATTACTTCTAGTCTAAATTTTGATTAGCGTTGGTAACATCTTAAAAGATAGTCCAAATATATAGTCAATATGGTAACCAAATCTAATTCTTTGCTTTAGCGATTTAAGTTCTTCTATAAGTATCAATTAGCTTACATTCAACAGAACACGATAACACGACTTGAACCATACATGAAGTTAGCGGGTTAGGGTTGATGATTTTATGGCACAAACATGTATATGACACAACCTAATAACATGAATATTAAATAGATCGGGTTATTGTCAAACTTTTATAACACAAAGTTGACATTGATAACTCATTTAATGAAGAATTAGTTACACATTTTAATATTATTCCTACTAATGGGTACCATGACATTTTTTAATCTCTTATGTAAGTCCATTCAACTGATTAAAAGTAAGTAAAATAGGATTTTAAGGCTTATATATGTTTTGTTTTGGTTTTTCATTGAATATAATGTATTTTTTTTCTCTGCTATTTGAGTTAATCTTGTAGAAAAATATAACAATAGGATATAGTTTTTGTAAATTAAGAATATAAAATTGAGTTGAAATCAAATATTTTTATGAATAATCTCATTCAATAGAGATTAGTTTTATTAAATTTAACATGTGGAGATTTTTGAATTTTTTTCATATACTTGATATTTTTAGTTTGGTGAAATTTGTTGACATGATACGTTAACACGACACAAACCGAAAATGACAAAACCCGATAACATGAAACAATAAACGGATTGGGTTAGTATTGAGGTAATTCTGACACGAACCCGATTTAACACGGCACAAACACAACCCAACACGACTTGACACCCACTCCTACTTAAATGATACATCATTATCCCTTCTTTGAAATATGTTTGCATTAGGTAGCAAGATCATTTAATTCCTTTTTCTAAAATTACTAAGATTTCTTCAACATTGGCCAACTAGGAGGTAGCTAGCTACATATTTTAAAATGGGAGTTTCTGATATAAAGAAACATTTATTCTAGAAGTTTCAACCAAAACATCTAATGAATAACATTTTATTCCCTCCTAAAATTACGGTTTTTGTTATAGTAATAGTGAATTTTGGAATTATTGCAATATGAATTTGTCCATCTTATATTGTTATTTAGCTTGACATTGTACACAGCTGTTTTAATATTGTAGGCCATTACCTAGGAAGTATGGTGCGGGTACGGATATGGATATGGATATGGCTATGGATATGTATGCCAATACGACAAAACTTAAAAACAATAGGATATAGGTATAGTCGGGTACGTTCATAAATTAATATATTTTTATAATCTGTAGCAGACTAGTAGTACATGATATATAATAATTAATAAAACTATGATATGTAATAATTAATAAAACAAACAAAGAAATAATTAAAATGTTTTTGTAATGGTCACAAAAGATGTACTCTAAATATTTTTTATGACATTAATTATTTCAAAAATATCATTTTTTGATTAAAGTTTTAAAATAGCACAATATAATTGTTCCAGTCACATTTGCACCCTCAAAGTACCCGAAATGTATCCATGTTGTACTCACCCCATACCCGTGCCACACCCAAAGTATTTCATGTACCATATACATATTTTGCGTCCTGGTACATGTGCAGCCGCACCAGTACACATACCCATACCGGTAAGTACCCGGTACTTGTACGATAATATTTTCAAAGCACCCATGCTTCACAAGCACCCATCGATGTTGTGTGCTTTTGGAAGGGTTAGAATAGGTAGAGAGCTAACAACCAACATTGTTTCCACAAAGTGCCTACCTAAAACCTAACTCATTACTTGCCACACTTGTTAGCCCTAAATTTTTAACCTTAGAATAAACAGTGGTCTCTTGGTAATGTTTAGTTTTTATGGAGGATTTTCTCTCTCTCTCTCTCTCTCTCTCTCTCTCATGTAAGTTGCAAACTTTGCTCTTCAAGGGAACCAAAAAAAAAAATCTCCAATATCTAAATCACATAAAGATAATAGATTTGGGAGTCACAGGTGTGTGGATTTCAAAAGAAAAAAAGTATTAGACTACAAGCCTCAATTTAGGAAGCTTTCTTTGGACAGTAGCTTTGGAGGGATGCAGTCGTTTATGAGGAGATTGCTTGAGAAAAAAATTATAACAAGGGTTTGTAGAATCAGAAAGAAGTTAAGAGATTAAATGAGGAAGGTTGACAAGGCAGGAAGAGCTATCGAATTGGATTTGTCTATTGTGGGAGATAAGAAAAGGGTGATTATGATGATGTCTAATGATGTGAGGATGTTCTCTTCAAATAGAGTTCTCAACCCTATTTAAAATTGCCTCAAAGAAGATGTTATGGCATATTATGTAAGCTACATCTAGAGTGCAATGGTGGGAGGCCCACTTTATCAAAAAATTGCAGAACTAGCAGTTGGAATTGATGATGCCTACTTTAAGATGTTGTATGGAGTTTTTGAGAGTCAACAAGTTTCCATAAAAGTTATACTATAAGATCTTGTGCAAAGAAGGCACCTTGAACTTTCCCTGGAAACATATTTGGCTATCAAAGGTGCCTCCTAAGTTTTTTGTTTGATTTTTACCATTGGCAACATGGGGTATAAAGTGTTGATGTTTCTACACTAGTGTGTATAAGCAGGTGAAGGATACAGTTATGACCTTTGGATGCATTTTGTGATTGGTGGAGACCTTTGGTGTGTTGCTTTTTCTTTCTTGCTAACATTGTCTTATTTCTTAGCTCACATATTTTGCTTGATTGTGGGGATAGAGAAATACGGTGTGAGAGTAGCACTAGTGTGTTATGCAGTGCTTGGAGGGAGAGGACAAACACATTGAGGATGATGAGATGATAATTTATGCAAAACAAGTAATATTGAATACTCTTCAAGCTTGTCTTTTAGGGAATTTTCTTTTGTTAAGGTTATAGGCATGTTAAGTCCTTTGGTTGGAAAGCCTACATTTTGTGTCTCACATCAAGTGCGTATGGGTTGAGCCTCATTTGGCACTTAGTTGGTGCATATTCTACTTATTTAAAAGTAAAAAATGGGACCTATCATTCTTCCATCTATACAAGTCCTCATGCTTAGCATAACATCATTTAATTTGGCATTGAAAGAAGGTTTGGTTTATATTTTAAACTATTTTGGATTTCATTTTTTATTTTTGAAAACAACCTCCTTATTCGCAAAACAACAAAACAATTTGAAAACAATGGTTATTTTTGAACTTTTCATTATTATTATTGTTATTATTGAAAACATGAAAAACAAACCCGAAAACACAACCAAACAAACTCTCATCAACTAAATTTGCATTTACTTGTGTCAAGTGAAGTCAAGCTTTACCTAACAATCAACCTAGCTTGAAATTGGCAATGCTACCTAGGTTTCATCCCATTTTAGTTGTGAATTTTTTGCTCATGACATTAAAATGATAGGGGCTAAGTTCTCAGTACTCTTGAAGTGTTTGTTTGGAAACGAAGAAAAAATATAGACAACTATGTGGGCCCCGCTAATGGGCCCTACCATTGGTATCACATTATACAGGATTGTTTTTGAAGAGTTTTGTTAAAATCCAAACAATCATAATAACTACTTTAGATTTGGAAGAAGAAGAAAAATTCATGTCTCAAATTAGGGACATCTTAGGAATTTTACAAATTTGGGATATTTCTTTTTATAAATTAGGTTTATTTAGTATCCAGGTTAGTTCGGTGTTTGTTTATGATTTTATCATGTCCTATACTTGGTTGGACTTAATCGAGTTTTATTTGGCTTTCGAAAACTTAATTTAGTTGGAATTAGGACATCCTATTGCTATTTGAAAAAATGTTGCATAAAAGAACCAATTAACTTGCTAATCGAACCAATCTGGCCCTCATGGGTTGGGCCAGGTTCAGTTCTAGCATAGGTTTGGTTCTTTTCTAGGTCCAAAAATCTCAAAACCAAACAAATCAATCTATTTGTCAGGTTGGTAACTTGGAACCTTGAATCTACCTAAGATTGACCCCGTTTATTTTTTTAGAAGTTGTATAAACTCTATGTTATAATTAACATGTATCTATTTATTGGGGAATCGGAGCGGCTTTGGCGTCGGATTGTGGTTGTTAAGTATGGGTTAGGGTGGTGAGGTTGGTGCTTTGGGGAAGTGAGGAACAATCATGGAAGGGGTTTGTGGAAAGGTGTTTGTTTAGGTATAAAGGAGTTTTGGAGGTGGGTTAGCTTTTAGGTGAGTAGGGGTGAGCAAGTGTGATTTTGGAAGGATAAGTGGTGGTGTGGTGATCAAATTTTAGTGTCTCGTTTCCCATTGTTGTTTCGACTTGTGGTAGATAAGGATGCCGTGGTAACTTCTTATTTGACTTTAGAAGATGAGCGTGTGTGGTGTGGGATGTTAGTTTCCAAAGGGAGATTTCTTATTGGGAGATTGATCAGTTGGTGGATTTTTTAGCTTTGTTGTATGGTGTTAGGGAGTTAGGGATGGGGGAGGGTGGGGTGGTGTGGAGCTGTAAGGGCGCTAAAGGGGTTTTCTCAGTGTCATCCTTTTATCATGCTCAAGTGGGTTTCATGGATAGTTCTTTTCCATAATGGATTGTGTGGGTTGCTACCATGCCATCTAAAGTTTTTAAGTGGCGTTTTTTGTTTGGACAGCTGTGTGGGATAGGATTGACATTGGATAATTTGATTCAACATCGCCAGATTTTGGTTAATTGGTGTTGTATGTGTTGTTGGGCCACAGAATCCACTTCACATCCTTTACTTCACTTCCCTGTAGCATCTCAACTTTGGGGTTTGATTTTTCCAGTTGGAGAGTGTGAAGGAGGTGTTGTGCAGTTGGAGGGGGGGTCAGGTGGGGAAGAGACGTCGGAAGGCTTGGGATCTTGCACCTTTTTGTTTAATGTGGTTGGTTTGGTTGGAGTGTAATCGGCAGACATTTCAAGGGTTAATGGTCCCGTTACCTCGTTTGAAGAATACATTTTTGGTGGTATTGTATAGTTGGGTGTTGGGCAGAGTGGCACTTTTCTTTTGTGGAGTTTATTGATTTGTTATATGTCTAGATGTGGATTTGGTGACACTGTTTTGTTGGAATCATCTTGATGCTCTTTTTCTAATAAAATTCACTCTTAATTTATCAAAATAAAAATAGACCCACTTGAATCAACCCAAATAGCCTCCCTCGGGCTTGGTTGGTTCAGTTATACACCTTGGTCTATTTAGTTTTGGGTTTGAGTATGGCTTTATCCTGAAGCGAAACCTGACGCATACACACCACAGGGAAAAAGTTCTATGCTTCTATATACGCAGGGAAAAAGTTCTATGCTTCTATATAAGCAAGTCTAATGTAATCGACAAAGTAGTCAATGATTGTACCAAAAGTGACTATCATCTACAATATTGTATACCAAGCTCTCTTAACACGCAATAGTTTCTCGATTAACTAGCTCACTCAAGAGTAAAGCCACTATCATCTACCATATTACTTTAGAGCTATTTTCAAATATTCCGTAGTGCACCTTGGCACCTTTCCAGCAGAAGTATAAGTTCAGATACACTCTTGCAGCATGTATAGGTCTATGAAGCATTCTAGTCCACATCATATTAATGATTTACCATTTTTTTTTTCTCCAGTTTTTATGTTCAACCACCTAAAATGCAAAGAGATTGCCTGCTATCAAGTTCTGCTAAGCCCAAAGGAGCCAGAGAACAATGTTACATTCTTCTGGGGTCGAGCAATGGCTGCAAGTAGTGAAGACATCTGCTCTTCAAGTGATACGTCAACCTTGACTATAGTAGAAGAGTTCTGTCGAAGAGAATGAAGCCACATAGTCAACCGGGTTTTAGAATTCCAAAATCTTGTCACTTCCATCAGGATAGAAAGGTCATCTTTGGGAAAAACGACGCAGTAGTTTCTTTCAGAGCACTTTCCGAAATGTCAAAACCAAATGATTGTTTATCCAACGATGGATTTTGCACAACAAAATAAACTGACATTTCCAATACCAAAAGCAGCCTCCTGCCCCCATTGATTTTGCACCTTCTAACATCTCAAGTAGAGAATTCTCATCAGGATTTTCATTCACTGGTTTAAAAAGAACTTTGATTGATGAAATTTCTGCAGATTTTGCATTGTTTTAATTGTGAGACTCCATTTCCACTAATTTTCTTAGGTGAGATTCCTAGAAAATCTTATTCTAATTTTCTAATCTTTAAAATCTCAGTACTTGATTGTATAAGTACCTGCTACAACACCATAAATCCCATGCCTAATACATTTTACTGCTGTGAACAATCAATCCTAGCAACTTACAACTACAAACTAGTTTTCTTACATAACAGCTCCTGAAAGCTTTGTTTTCCTTCCCCAATTACAACCCCAAAACTTTACTTTTTTGTTATCCATGTACTAACCCTATTTCTCTATATAGTTACAAATGAAGAATGGGTCATTTGTGATGTTAAAGAAAAAGTTGACACCTCACTTAACTGAAATATTCAACTTCTTTTAATGGGGTGCTTGCTGAATATTTATAAAATCAAAAATTAATCTGGTTGGAATTTTTTCACACTTTGACTTGAACAATAATTTCAGCCCATGACTATGTATGTTCTTTGAAGACGAGGGATGTGTGGCTTGTTGAATGGCATTAATGCTTTCATTATTATATTATGTTATGAACTTGTGATCCTTATCCAAGTTGAGTGGTTGCTTGAGCTTAGCTTATCTAGTGCACAAGCTTTGAGCTTTCCGTAAAGCTTGATTCTTTCAATCTGCAAAACAAGATTGATTTATTGTGATCAAGCTGAAAGCAAGATGCGCATGAGCAGTTTTTCAGCTCTCTCTCTGTCTCTCTCTCAATCCTAATGAGGTGTTAATTGACAGAATTCCAGTGTTGCATCCCATACCAGAGAGGTTGAGGATCATGACATCACTTCTAAATCAAAACCTATTGCAGCTAAAGAGGGAGTTGGGCAAATTAGGCTACAGTTTGTTATGAGGCTATCAATTTTTTATGGCTTTCTATTGTGCTTCGTAAATAGATTTTAGACGTTCAAAATCATTGTTTCAATTTTAGGCTACAGTTTGTTATGAGGCTATCAATCTTTGTTATGAGGCTATCATTGTTTCAAAATCATTGTTTCTGAGGGTAAGTAGCTTTCATTTCCATTTCAGATCTTGCAATGACTTTCCTTTGAAATCCAATGGTGTCTTCAGTAAATTTGTCCATAATTTCTATGTGTTCTAGGAAAGAAGAGATGGGAGCTCAGCGAGTCTCAAGTGCATGGAAGTAGAAAGTCAAGGAGATAAACCGACTCTGGTTTGCAAGAAAGGTAGATAAGGATCAGAGCAATTGCTACAAGAAACTTGAGATGCATACATAAGGTGAAGATTTCAGAAAGATTACAGGTGATCACATAACTCGTTTTTAAAATAAGTTTGCATTTATACATGGTGAGTCGTTTCATGCAATGAAATCGTTATCATGGATACATAAAAAAGGGTCTGGTCACATCCAAATACCAACCTATTAAAGAGCTAAAGCCCTTCTGGGGGGGGTGGAGAATTTATTTAGTTTTGCATACATTATCATGACTTAAAACCAAATTAAATTAAGATGGTGTGTCAAACCTACAATATGATAAAAGAAAGTACCAAAACACTTATTTTCGTAGAACTAGTTGGGCTTGTCTGGGATATGTGCTTCTTGTGTTTTACAGGTCTCTAGAAATGATTGTCCAAAATTGGTTTTGCATTTACTTATTCAGCGGCTAATTTTTATCCCCTCCCTAGAAATTTACATGGTTTTGATAATTGTTTCTATAAAATGGAAATGAAGTTGATACTATTTGGTTGATATGAACAACATCATGTAGGTTTTGTTATGGATTGAAAGAGTATAGAGTGCAAAAATTGTTCCTGTTTAGTTAAAATTCTATGGATTATCCTTTCCCAAACATAATAACTTTTAGGCTGTATTTGGATTATAAATTTGGGTAGTGATTTGGAAAGCGTATGGGAAAAGATATAGGTGAAATGTAATTATATTTTATTCACATTTCACTAACATTTCTTTTTGCTTTTACAAATCCCTATCCAAATCTATTATCCAAAAACAGCTTTAACCACCACCCTGATCATATATGGGTAAATAACAAATCAGTATATATTTGGGGAAAAAAATTCAAATTAATGGTAGACTTTACAAATTTTAATGATCAAAGTCATAAATTTTTCCACTAGCCTGTAAATATTTTTAAAATGTACTACTAATGTGTTAATTCCCCAATGCTTATGTTTTTCATATAGGAGGTTAACATTTTTAGTACGGACAAAAGTATGTATCTTAAAAAACAAAATTTTATTAACCGAGTATTCCAAAGGTTGTTCGGTTGAAAATTTCAATTTTGAATTTTTTTTGTTCAAAGGTCCAGTCACCCATTTACTATGTCAATAAGGACAAATATCTGTAAAATGACTAAGCTGCCCTCATATATATAAAGCTATGGCTCTCTCACCTCTCTGTTCTAAACCCAATCCAAACCCTAAAAACTTTTGTCTTTGTCTTCCCTTCTCTCTCTCATCCTCTTGCTGACGCCAATGTGGACTTTTGGTTCGCTAAAATAAAATAATTATTCTATCAAAATATTTATTTTTATATTTAGTTGATTAAAAAGAATAATAAAAAATACATTATAAATGAAATCATTCATATTCTAAAGGAATGATCATTGCGTAAGAAATGACCATTATGTTCTATTCTTTCTTATTCTGTTCTATTATTTCTTATTCCAATAAACCAGACAACGTATGACTTGTTCAACTAACAGGTTTTGAGCACAGATTAACCAATTTTGTACACAATTAATTTCGTATTGCCTATGGACATATGTCACTTAACCTATTTGTTGTCTATGGGCATCACCATTGGCCCCAAAAAAATTAAATAAACAAAAAAAAAAAAAAGAAGCAAAAGTGTAAAGAGTTTGAATCTTGCCTCCCCTCCCCATATTAGTGAACCCCTAATCTATCAAAGACGAAAAGAAAGTAAAAAAAATATTTTTTGCTCAAACAATCGGTGAAACAAACAAAAAAAAGAAAGGGAAATAATATAAAGTTCTAAATTTAGAACTCTAATTTGAGGACAAAGAAAAAAATAAATAAATAAGATACAAACATCACATAGAGTAATGATACATAAAAGAGAAAGGGAAATAATATAAAGCTCTAAATTTAAAAGTCTAATTTGAGGACAAAGAAAAAAATAAATAAATAAGACAAACATCACATCGAGTAATAATACATAACTCTAACTAAAAGTAATAATACATAGCTCTAACTAAATGAAGCTCTAGTAAGGTGAAAAAAAAAAGAGAGTAGAGAGATAGAGAGAGGAGTGTGAACTGTACCTTCACATAGGTACTCTCCACATCGTTAGAGTTTTATTAAAGCTCTCAAACATTATTGTTAGGCAAAAATAATTTAAATAAACTGAGAAAAATTAATTATTTAGAAACTGAAAAAGAGATACTTCAATTTCTACTTTTTTATTATAAACTTTTAACTTACAATAACAGTACCAAATAGTACCATAGAGTTCCCAATCTTTTTCCAAAAAGAAAACATTATCGCTCAATTGCTCAGGCTGTTATTTTATGTACTTGGATACAAAATTTATGTCTGTTAATTCTGTAATCAAATACAAAATTTGCCTGCCTGGTAACTTCTCAGCTACCAGAAATTCAGATTACATTCATACCAACCTATTAAAGAGCTAAAGCCCTTCTGGGTAATATGAAGGATAAAATATTGGATTAACAGAAATAAATGCACTATCCACGATTGATTTTAAGCCTAAAATTTTTTAATCCTTGTGTGAGTAGGGATCTATTTGGAGGAATTTTGCATAGCGTTCTGCTTTTTCTCCCGATTTGTGGTCATAGTACTCAACTACAGCAGCTCCGGCTAATGCAGCAAGTGTAAGAGCTTGTGCGTGCAACCTGAATTCAAATCAATAGGCAAAAAAGTTAGCAAGGAATGAACGAGCTAACAACAGAACAAGGTGGAAGAAGAGAGTGCAGGTGAATATATATATATGTATTCAAGGCAGTAGCAATGGGAGCAAAAAGGAGAATAGAATGATATATCGTGCAAGAACACTTCCAGACACATTTGCACCAGTGCACATTGTTTTATCATTTGCCCATTCTTTTACATGAATAGAAGAAGACGAGTGAGCATGGTACATCACTTGATATAATATTGAATCCTTGTGTTGTGCAAAGGACAATGGAGAAAATTGATATTTACCATATGCTATTCCTATAAATTTCTATATATTGATACAAAGCCGGGTTAGTGATAAAAGGCTTTGGTCAGAAGGAAGGCATAGATAGACTTTGATGAGATTGTCTCTCCAAAAAAGTCAGGTTGTAAAATGGCTCATAGCAAGTCAAAAGCAAGCAGAGTCAAAGGCGGGTCAATCTCACATACGCAGAGGGGGAGACACATTCACAAGTTCATAGTGTTCGTGTGTGTGAGAATTTGGACGAATTTGGCCCACCCTTCATCGGTTGTCTTTTCCAAGTGATAATAGTTAAAAAAAATAAGGTGTGAGATGATGAAGCAATGGAGAGGGGAGGAGAATCAAAAGAAAGAACAAAACATTCTAAAATTTGATGGACAAATATTTATTATGCTCAACCACAATGAAGCGCACACAAACACCACACCAATCAATTAATCTATCCGTCCAATATCCCTAATCTTTGGGAAAATAAGAAACAATCAAAATACTCAAAAATCTAAGTTCATATCATTTGTCATTGATGTTGATACCCATGTGGTTCAGTAACATTCAGTTGGTGGTATAATATTACAACCATGGTCTTCAATATAATTCACTTGGGGTGGATGACTATAAGGTTATTATCATATTTTTTAGTTTTTTTTATATGCTTCTTGTAAATTTATTTCTCATGAATCATAATATTTTGTAAATGAACTCCTACTGATTGAAAAAAACAAAACAAAACAAAACAAAACCATGAAATTGATTAAAACTTGATTAGAACCATGTAAATCAAATAATCAAAACTCCATTCAAATAAAAACATAAATTGACTTCCAAAGTTCAAGGTTCAAAATATGTAACCAAAAAACAATTTTTATTCCAATAAGTGAAATCCCTTGAACCAAACCTAGGCATAAATAAATTCATATAAGTGAATGAGAATTAACTGAAATTTAAATCATTTTAAAGAGCAAAAAACCTTTTCATTCAACAAATACCCAAATTAATTGCGATTCAAAAACAGAAAAAAAAAAAATAAACACATAGAATACTAAATAAATCACATTAAAAAGGGATCGAAGTTTTTTTAAAAAAAAAAAATTGAAATAAAAATTGAGAGGAGTGAGTACCTGGCATGAATGAGCTTGACACTGGTTTTCATGGCGGGTTGAGACCAATTGTAGGCGATCGAACCCGTAATACCGCTCAGCCATAAACACCCTTTTTTTTTTTTTTTACACACAAGGAAATGCAAAGAAGATCCAAACTCAAATCGAATACATATGCCTAATAACTATACATTCATATTTCATACGCAAAGAAAGCAAGGATATGAAAGAGATTACCAACTGCTCGAAGCTTGTGGTCGACAACCCATTTTCTGAAGGATTCAATTGAAGTCTTGGTGTCCGAATCCGCCATCTTTCTGATGCTGAAGAGAGAGAGAATCTAGAGAAAGTGATGAATGAAGGTGGGTACAGGCTGGGTGGGTGGGGCATTTTATGCGAAATTTGGACCGCGTTCAAGAAAGGGAAAACTGTGGGTGCCCGGTTTTTCAACCAACAAAAATAAATAAATAAATAAATTATTGAGCGGTGATTGAGACCTCATCCCAGAAGATTCCACATGACCTCATAAATCGGTATCATTTATGATGTGAACTTCACACATATATAAGTAGAGTTCATGTGTATATGTATATAAAGGGTTAGGATGACTTTGGGAGTATAATCCCAAACATTTTTCTAAATTATTTGGGGTCGTGATGTTTTAAGTGTATCTTAATGGACGAAGGACATATAATTTATAATTGTGTATTAAGGTTAAGTTTGACAATTTAAAAATAATTTTTTTTTTTTTTACCACATTACCTCTCTATTTTTTTAAATATATTTTCATAAAAAGATAAAAAGTACACTTATTTAAGTTATTCCAAATAATCCTAAGTAATTGAGAAATAATAAAAAAATATGTTTTATTGTAATGGGCGAAGAGTATTGATATGTGATTGTCCAAGAGCACTAAACAAATTTTTACACGTGCATAAAAATTGAAAAAATCATAAACCCATTTGATCTAAATTAAATTGCACGAGTTGGTTTATTTTTTTAATATATGGTTCAGTTCTGATTTTTGAAATAAGCAAATCATGAATCTAAAAAAAGAAATAGGTGAACCTTATCTCACGGTTCGATTCATGATTTTGTAACTACAAATTTAATTGGAATCGAACTGAACTATTTAAATTATACAGATAGTTTATTACCGAATGTAGGTACTAAAATATTTTAAGAATATCAAATATATATATATATATATATAAATTATAACTCTTTACTATTATAAGTATATTTTTGTATAGTGATAGAACTAGTTTTAAACAATTATGTAAATAGTTATAAATAATATTTTGTGATCATATTGTAAATAATGATAATATTTTTAAAATTTGTGATTTCAAATTGAATTGAACTGTGGTTTAATGGTTCGGTTCAAATTAGTTCAAAGATTTTCATAGATTGGTTTGGCTCCAATTTAATGAAGGTAATGGATTGTCTTGGTTTAACTAATCCGAATCATGCTCACTTCTACACACATGCAAAATAAAAATAATAAAAATAAATAAATAAATAAATTATACTTATTTTTTAAATTAAAAGAAAAAATTATCAGTCTTATATTTTTTTTTATATAATTGTATTGGTTTTTTTTAATAAGGTTAAAATATTAAAAATTAATCTTGATGATGAATAAATATTGAAATAAATATATATTTTAATTAAAAATTGATAATATCCTTTTTATTTTTTATCAAACTAATAAATTAGTGATCACAAATTTTTGTTCCTCTTTAGTGGCATATGTTTCTTTCATTTGCCCTTTGTGTGCTATTTACATTTATGTTATGTTGGTTGGAGTATTTGAAAATGAAAAAAGAAAATGTATGTAGAACGAGAATAAAATATATCAATATTTCACTTAATTTTATATATTTTTTTCTTTTTTATTTTTAAATTGATCCCCTATTCCTCTAACCAAACACAACATTAGAGTCTAAAGAGATGCATTTCAACATGTGGTGGGGCATAGGCCGTTGGCATGTCTCATCTTATTTTTTTAGAATTTGAAAATATTGTTATAGTTCATAAAGTTGGTTAGATCAATATTTTAGCCTAATATATTAAGTTTGAGATTTATACTTTTAACTCAGTTTGATCTGTTATTAAATTAATTCATAATAATATATTAAAATATATAATTTTTATTAGGAGTTAGACTTATCTTTATTGATTTTATTGAAATTCATATTTGTGATGATATTTAATTGAATTTATTTAAGAAATTCTTTAATTTATATACACAATCTTTTAATTTATAATGATATCAGTATATTTATTTAAAAAATATAATATGTGATTTAATTTAATTTAATTATGAAATATTTTATTTTTTGACATTAGCCTTATGGATGGGTTTGAAATTTATAATTATTTTTGTGTTGGACTTGAGCAATGTAGAAGCCAAATGTTAGGGTTGAAACGGGTTTGGGCAAACACAAAATTTATTATTATGTAGTGTCAGCCTGGTCTGATGAATGTATGCCCCTATTAGGAGTGGGTACGAATCGGTTGCTGCCAACTTGGACAGTGCAACTTGGATTGCAATGGGCATAATTCAATATTGGTTCCAATGGGTATAATTCAATATCACCCAAAACATTGTGCATCCAATGGGCATAAATCATCTAACTTACACATAAAACATAAGGAAAACATTGTGCGTTCAAGTGACATTCATCCAAGAGTTCCAAAAATAAAAAAGTTACAGTCATCCAACAAACATTATGCATCCAAATAAAATAATATGTTAACAACATTTAGCCAAGGGGAAGTATTCTACCAATGATATTAAACTTCAATAAAATTACTCTTCGGACTTGAGCTTGAACATGAACTTGATTCTGAAACAACTACACAAAAAACATAACACAACAAAAATATATAAAGTGAAGATAATGAATTTTAAATAATACGAAATAAATGAAATAGATAAAAAATAAATAAATCATTATATCTATTACCCGAATCATATTGTTGTTCAAATTGTTCAACATCCTCCATTGCTTATCGAAGGCACATTGGAATGTTACTTCGAAGCTAATTTTGTGTAAAACAAGAACCTCCACCATCTTGGGAGCAAGTGAACTACGAAATAGATAAAGTATACGACCTCCTGTACTAAAAGCCGACTCAAAAGCAACAGTGGAAATAGGCATTGCCAACACATCTCGTGCTATAAGTGATAATACTCTATACTTTGTCGCATTAACCTTCCACCACTCCATTGAGCATTATTCCCACATTTCTCAATGTTACCCAAGTACTTGTCCAATTCCGACATACTACCACTACTAGAAAATTGCCACTCCAAAAATGAGTTAAATTGAGAGTTCATAATAGAGTGTGTGTCATTTTCATCTATCACCATATCTACTCTTTCATTTACACTAGAGGCATGCACACTTGTTGACTCAAGTGTTGCATAATGATCATACAATTGACTCAAACAATTTTTCACCTTGTCTAACATTTCTTTCACTTTCACCACATCTCCACCAAAAATTGTTAGAAAACAAAATTGCAAATATGTCATTTTTCTTTGAGGATCAAGCACAACTGCAACATACAAAAGTAGATTGATTTTATCCCCATTTCCCCAATACTTGTCAAACTTCTCTTTAATTTTCTTTGCCATTGAAGACAAAATAGGATCGTTGTTTTTGATTAATTGTCCAATCATATTTTCGATGACAAAAAATTTAGTGTAGAATGTGTTTGAAGTAACAAATAAAGACCTAGAAAATCTCTTTGTAGCATTGCAGAACATTCTAAGAAATTTCAAAAACACCCTACAATTATCTCAACCCTCGGCTATAGGCATCTCTCTCCTCTAACCCCCTTCATTATCCAAAAAGTAGTGTTTGTAATTGTAGTCCTCCTCATCATTCTTTGAAAAGCACTCTCAATTTTTTCTGCTGCCTCCAACATAAGATATGTGGAATTCCATCGTGTTGGCACATCTAGGCACATGAGGCTCTTATTCTCAATTTTTCAAACTTTTCACATACTTTTTAAAAGTGTCAAGGCGGTTTGGAGAATACCTCACATACCTCACTGCATGCCTCATATTCGCTATACAAGACTCAAGATCCTTCAATCCATCACTAACAATGAGAGTTAGAATATGCGTACAACAACACATGTGTAAAAATTCATGGCCCAAGACAGTTCCCTTCTACAGTTTTGTGGTTCATTTCAAGAATCTAATGGTTAGATTATTGGAACTCGCATTATCAATAGTTAAGGTAAAAAGGCCATTAATGTCCCACTCTTTTAAGAGTGCCTCGATTTTTTTACCAAGAGTTTCTCCTTTGTGGTCTTCAATTTGACAAAAAATTATAATCTTCTTTTGTAACTTCCAATCATCATTGATGAAATGTGCAGTTAGACACACATAACACAAATTTTGTATGGAAGTCCATGTGTCTGTGGTAAAACAAATTCTACACCCCTTTACAATTTTCTTCGACCTCTCCATTTCATTGGTGTATATGTCTAGAATGTCCCAGCAACGGTATATTGAGATGGGATCTTGAACTTGGGTTGCATGACATTATAAAACCTCTTAAAACCAACCTCGTCCACAAATCTAAAGGGCAATTCATCAATTACTATCATCTCCGCAAGATACCTTCTAGCAACTTCTACAGAAAATAATGTAGCCACAACATCAACAACACCCTCCTCACCAACTTCTCTAGGTTTAAATCCCAATGATTGTTGCCCATGAGTATCCCTATATGGATACTTTGTACAATTTTTCAAATGACTTCACAAATTACTTGTTCCACGACTCTTAGAGCCTGCCATATATTCTTTCTTACAATACTTGCACATAGCCCTATCTTTTCCATCAATGCCCTTAATCTTTTCAAAATGATCCCAAGTCTTTGATGTTATTCTCCCACTATTACTAGTAGTTTTGGCTAGGGGTGGTCTAGGAGGAGAAGCATTAGGTTGGGTGGTGGGGTCAATAGAAGATGATTCGGGCTCAATATTAGGACTCACAAAAAATGTTTCATCAGTTGAAGGATCCATGACCACAAGATTATCAAATATACTACCAAAACCAATAAAATTTCATTCAAAATTTGCTTTTCAAATCCATTGTCTAACAACAGTTTAACCAAAAAAAAAAAGCTTGAAAAAAAATAAACCATACATTAAAAAAGTCAAACAGAATTACGTGTCTCATTAAAACTCATCACAAGACTCCTAACAAATACAATTTTTAACATATTTTTAACAGTAACATACCACGAAGTAGAGAAAAAGCTAACTGAGAAAAGTATGCAATTAAACATATAAGCAACCTAACATAATCCAAGCACGTTAATTTATGCTAATATTATGTTTATGTGGACATATGCATCTGTGACCGAATGAAT